GAATGCCTTGCTATTATTGATGCTGTGGATTTCTTTTTACCCTACTTAGATGGCGTGCATTTCACCATCCATACAGACCATGCTTGTCTAAAGTATTTGAAGAACATAAAGAACCCAAAAGGACGATTATTTAGATGGAGCTTAAAGCTCTCAATGTTTGACTTTGAGATAAAACACATAAGAGGAACTGAAAATAAAGAAGCTGATTTTCTCAGCAGATACCCCATAGCTCATTTTGTTTCTGACCCAGAACTAAAACAAGCTCAATTTGATGATAACATCAATGATAGGAAATATACTAAATTTAATGGACTTTTAACAATAAAGAAAAAAGGATTAATCAAAAGTGTTGTTCCACCATCATTAAGAGAAAAAGTATTAATAAGAGCTCATCAAGATTACGGCCATATAGGAGTATCTAAAATGTTAAATCTAATTTCCCCTATCTATTATTGGCCCTACCTAATTCAAGATATTTCTAATTATGTAAAACACTGTGAGGTGTGTCAACTCAATAAAATATCTCACCAGAAGAAATTTGGTCTGTTGGAAAGTCTCCCCCCAGCTAAGGATCCTTTTGATCTTGTGTCTATAGACACAGTAGGTGGACTAAATTACTATAATTCCACAAAGAAATTCCTTCACATCATCGTAGATCATGCTACTAGATACATTTGGGCTTTCCCCTCAAAAAGTCAAACTACTGACTCATATATAAATTGCCTAAACAAAATTTTTCAAATACAAAAACCCAAACAATTTTTAAGTGACAGGGCACCATCATTTACTTCACCAAGATTTAGAAAATATTTGATTAACAATAACATTAAACAATTATTGACTTCATCATCAAGACCTCAGTGTAATGGGTTAAATGAACGACTTAACCAAACTATAATAACCAGGTTAAGATGTAAATTCAATAACTTGAAAGGAAAATCAATACCATGGACGAAATTGTTAGATTCAGTACTAAATGAATATAATAATACTCCCCATTCCATAACAGGCTATACTCCTACTTACCTTTTGTATGGTAAGCTCCCTTATGATCCCCCCTTAAAAGAATCAGAATTTTACCCCCCTATAGACACTGCCAGAACAAATGCCTATAATAATACATTAAAATTTCATCAGATAAATAAAATTAGATATGATCAACATTATCAACCTTCCACCTTTAAAGTAGGCGATAAAGTTTGGTTACAAACCTTTTACCATCCAGATAACCGAAAATTAATGCCTCCAATGTCTGGGCCATTTACAATCTTAAAACAGATATCCCCAGTCAATTATGAAATTGATAAACCCCAATCTAATTTAGGAAAAACTACCATGGTAATTCATTCATCCAAATTGAGGCCATACTACTCAAAAGAAGGATTTGAGTTAAAACTGACAAAAAGTAAAATACCCACTTTAGAGAAAAAAACAAACCAACAAGTGGCACCTAAGGTAGTGAAAAGTAGAATCCCTCTTCTTACTAAATAATGGTAGGGAAATCTTAATATAAATAAGACAATACCAAAAATAACTACGCCTAAAAATTAAGCCTTGAGAATATAATTTTTGTGCACACATAAGATATAACTTGACACTTTTCTTTTCAATTGTTGTAAATATTTTACATTTTGATTTTATTTGTTGAGAAATTCACTCATATGATTCTATATATTTTTCTCTCACAAATTTTATATGGAACATTTCATATTCGAACAGTCTTTTTTTTTAATGTAAATAATAAAACTTCATGTGTAAATATTTTTCATTGTGTGGAAGTAAATAACCCATTATTTTATGTTTTTATTCTGATCAAACCAAATAAATGTGAAACAAGATGTTGGATACCACTCGTCATTATGAGAAATAAATTTGTGATTTTCAAAAATATATTTTTTGGCATGTGGCAAAATACCTTTTGAATCTTGAGAGCCTGAGAAGGCCTACTCAATTCATGAGGTAAATCCCCTTATGAATTATAGGAAGGAGACACCTATAAATTCAAATAAGATTGGATAATTTTCAGCTACTGTCAAGAAAAAAGGTACCAATGGGAATATGTAGAAGAAATAAAGAGCATCATTGATATAGTTTCAATTGGTATCCTCCATCTTAATTGATAATCTATGTAAATAATAATGATACTTTTTTTACTTTGAAAATTACTCCCTAATTTTTATCCTTGGAGGGAAGAAATGACATAATAAAAATATGATTTTTATTATTCATTAATATAATTATAATTTAAATAATCATAGAATTAACACAGAGTTAAATTTTTAAAATCCTTAACAAAAGGAGTACAACCCAAGATGTTTTTTGTTTATACTTAGATATATTATTATAAAAATTGAATGTATGCAAACTGTTTTGTTCTTAAAATATAATCATTAAAAAAAATACAATTTTGGATATAAAAGTTATCATTTCACTTCAATCCACGACTGCATGAATGAATTGGTAACGTACCTAAAATACTTCTTTTTTATGACATATATATATATATATTTATTTATATATTTCTAGTATTAGAGAGAAAGAGAGTGAAAAATTATTTTTACAGCAAAAAAAATGTAAAAAAAGAATTAATTTATTATTTACATATTGAATTATATATTTATTAGTTTTTCATTTATAGTTTTAATTTTTTTTTTATATTTTAGTTACATTTATATATTAGACATAAATAATAATTAAAATAGATTCAGCTCAATAATATTGTTTATATATAGGTTTTTAAACTTTTTATTAGACAATTTTAATTTATATTTAGACATTTTTCATTTTAATTTAGACACATGGACTTTTTATAGAAAATTAAAATGAAAAATGTTTAAATTGAAATGAAAAATGTATAAATTAAAATTTAAAATGTCTAAATTAAAATTGAAAATGTCTAAATAAAAATGAAAGTGTCTAAATTAAAATGAAAAATGTTTAAATATATATTTAAAATGTCTATTTTAAAGTTAAAAAAACCTATATATAGCATTATTGTCCTAGGTTTAAAATACAATTTTTAATATCGTAGAAATTACGCTTCCAAAAATACATCACAAGTTAAAAACTTCCTCAAAACCATAAAACCCAAAAATATCTGCTTTATTTCTAAGTTGACCCCGCCGTTTCAATTCAAAGCTGATTGCAGAAAATGAATGAAACATTTATTGAAGCACAGAATAGTCGTCTGATATAAAAATATTCCATTGATTCGTATAAAAGGAACGATTGAACGAAAAGAAATTCGGTTAACGAGATAAGTACTTGTAAAAATATCCTTCAATACATCCTTATAGCTCAATAACTGTCGTGAAGCCTTTCAAACAAGATTTGTTCGTCTGCTTTGAAAGAACATGTATCCATTGGCTTCATTAGAACGAATCAATGTAATAGCAGATGGAAACATTCGTTTGGCTTTTATTTAACATCGAATAACAACATGGAAATTTCTGTTATAGAAACAATAAAATAAAACTTGAGTTTACTTTGTGTGTTGTATATATATATTTTAAGTTTAATTAATTAATTATTCACAGTATGTGTGTAAGATCACAAAAAATAGAGGCATCAACTGTAAGAAGAAAATAAGTTTTTCTTTGTTTACCATTGTTAAAATTTATTTTTTTGTTTGTTTTCTCTTGTAAATCAATAAAATTATTTTTTTTATCAATTTTCTTGGAAAAAGTATCTTTAAAAAAAGTTTAAGTAAAGTCAACGGGAGACACCGTTGAGTTTGGCCGTATCTGACCTATGACGTCAAAATGACGTCGCGATGTAAACAAAGGTTACGACTGGGTCATTTTTTTTTTAAATTCGATTTAATTATTAATATTTTAATACCAGCGACTAATTTATAGTGTCAAGATATATATAAAGGATTTTTTATTTTAATAATTTTCTATTAGCAATTTTTTAATTATTTTTTTAGCGTCAACGTAAACAAAGAAATAATGGCGTAATACGTTCCAATATGGTGCCAAAGGTTATATTTATAAATAGGAATATACAAAAAAATATAAAAATAATAAAATTATTAATATTACATATTTGTAATAATAATACAATATGGTACAGGCCATGATAATCCTGGTGGGTAGTTAGTGACTGTCTTTTACTGTAAGTGCACCACATGTCTACATATGGTACAGGCCATGATAATCCTGTTGGGTAGTTAGCGACTGTCTTTTACTGTAAGTACACCACATGTCTACATATGGTACAGGCCATGATAATCATGGTGGGTAGTTAGCGTCTGTCTTTTACTGTGAGTACACCACATGTCTAAACATGTAGAAAGCGCAGTTTGACTTTTACACTTACAAATATACCAGAGCCCAATTGGATTACTTGCACTCGCTGGTGGGGTTGGATTCTTTGCAAGAATCGGGGCCTGTTGTAGATTTTATTTTTCAAATAAAAGAAAAAGATTTAAATCCCAAACTTAATTATATATATATATATATATTTTTTACATGAAATATTAATTATATTTTATTCCAGTATAAACTTATTTATATTAACTATAAATTAAATACTTTTTTTTCATTAAACATAATTATATAACCCTAATGAGGTACAGCTTGCACCACGCTGATGAGGGCCAACAGCCCGAAACGCGTACGTGGTTAGCTTTTCTCGATTAATCAAGAATGGGTATTAGGCCAATTCTGGAATAATTAGAAATCAACGAGAATAGTTTATATTTATTCCAATAGATGGCGCAAGCCATCAACAACTTTCAGTTGTACGATAACAAGATGCCTTTTTTCATAATATATGCACCTTATCCCAGTACAATATCACATTTGTACTATTTTTTCATATTAATTATATACTAAAATACAATATAATGCGGCTTATGATTGTAGAACGACATTTGGAAATATCCCGCATGTGTTTCTTTTGAACGAAAAATCAAAATTTATTTTAAGGAGAAATAATGATTATTTCTAACCTTAGGGATGAAGTATGAAAGGAGGAATTGTGAAGTGTAATGATAAACTAGGGAAACCTATTGGAAATGGCATCTGCCTGGTAAGCGGAACACTGTGGGTTCGATTCCCATCCCTGAAAACTTTTATTTTCCGTTTATCATTACTCTTCACAATTCATCCTTTCATACTTCATCCCTAAGGATAGAAATAGTCGTTATTTCTCCTTAAAATAAATTTTGATTTTTCGTTGAAAAGAAACTCATGCGGGAAAATTTTCAAATGTCGTTAATTTTATACTATTTAATCAAAATTTACAACTTTCAACAAAATTTATGTTAAAAAAAATAGATAGTAAACGAGAACATGTAATTGTCGAATACAATTTAGCCCACAAACTTTCGTCTGCTTTATAAAAACCCAGTCACCAGGCGATATTTTATTTCCTGCGATGTGTCCTTGATACGGCGACATCTCTAAATTAAAACTGTCACCTGAATGTCCGCCACAAATCCTTGTGTCACACAGCCGTTTATTAAAAATTCCTTTATTCGGACCCATATCTCAGCTTGTCACATATACACTCATGGACAAAACTTAAGGAAGTTGTACCTTTTAGTATGTATTTCGGGATTTAGATAATAACTCTGAAAGATACACTCATGGACATAACTTAAGGAAGTTGTACCTTTTAGCATGTATATCGGGATTCAGACAATAACTCTGAAAGATACACTTATGGACAAAACTTAGGGAAGTTGTACCTTTTAGCATGTATATCGGAATTCAGACGATAACTCTGAAAGATACACTCATGGACAGAACTTAAGGAAGTTGTACCTTTTAGCATGTATAACGGGATTCAGACAATAACTCTGAAAGATACACTCATGGACAGAACTTAAAGAAGTTGTACCTTTTAGCATGTATATCGGGATTCAGACAATAACTCTGAAAGATACACTCTTGGACAAAACTTAAGGTAGTTATACCTTTTAGCATGTATATCGGGATTCAGACAATAACTCTGAAAGATACACTCATGGACAGAACTTAAGGAAGGTGTACCTTTTAGCATGTATATCGGGATTGAGACAATAACACTGAAAGATACACTCATGGACAGAACTTAAGGAAGTTGTACCTTTTAGCATGTATATCGGGATTCAGACAATAACTCTGAAAGATACACTCTTGGACAAAACTTAAGGTAGTTATACCTTTTAGCATGTATATCGGGATTCAGACAATAACTCTAAAAGATACACTCATGGACAGAACTTAAGGAAGTTGTACCTTTCAGCATGTATATCGGGATTGAGACAATAACACTGAAAGATACACTCATGGACAGAACTTAAGGAAGTTGTACCTTTTAGCATGTATAACGGGATTCAGACAATAACTCTGAAAGATACACTCATGGACAAAACTAAAAGAAGTTGTACCTTTTAGCATGTATACCGGGATTCAGATAATAACTCTGAAAGATACACTCATGGACAAAACTTAAGGAAGTTGTACCTTTTAGCATGTATATCGGGATTCAACCAATAACTCTGAAAGATACACTCATGGACAGAATTTAATGAAGTTGTACCTTTTAGCATGTATATCGGGATTGAGACAATAACTCTGAAAGATACACTCATGGACAAAACTTAAGGTAGTTATATCTTTTAGCATGTATATCGGGATTCAGACAATAACTCTGAAAGATACACTCATGGACAGAACTTAAGGAAGGTGTACCTTTTAGCATGTATATCGGGATTGAGACAATAACACTGAAAGATACACTCATGGACAGAACTTAAGGAAGTTGTACCTTTTAGCATGTATATCGGGATTCAGACAATAACTCTGAAAGATACACTCTTGGACAAAACTTAAGGTAGTTATACCTTTTAGCATGTATATCGGGATTCAGACAATAACTCTAAAAGATACACTCATGGACAGAACTTAAGGAAGTTGTACCTTTCAGCATGTATATCGGGATTGAGACAATAACACTGAAAGATACACTCATGGACAGAACTTAAGGAAGTTGTACCTTTTAGCATGTATAACGGGATTCAGACATTAACTCTGAAAGATACACTCATGGACAAAACTAAAAGAAGTTGTACCTTTTAGCATGTATACCGGGATTCAGATAATAACTCTGAAAGATACACTCATGGACAAAACTTAAGGAAGTTGTACCTTTTAGCATGTATATCGGGATTCAAACAATAACTCTGAAAGATACACTCATGGACAGAATTTAATGAAGTTGTACCTTTTAGCATGTATTACGGGATTGAGACAATAACTCTGAAAGATACACTCATGGACAAAACTTAAGGTAGTTATACCTTTTAGCATGTATATCGGGATTCAGACAATAACTCTAAAAGATACACTCATGGACAGAACTTAAGGAAGTTGTACCTTTTAGTATGTATTTCGGGATTTAGATAATAACTCTGAAAGATACACTCATGGACATAACTTAAGGAAGTTGTACCTTTTAGCATGTATATCGGGATTCAGACAATAACTCTGAAAGATACACTTATGGACAAAACTTAGGGAAGTTGTACCTTTTAGCATGTATATCGGAATTCAGACGATAACTCTGAAAGATACACTCATGGACAGAACTTAAGGAAGTTGTACCTTTTAGCATGTATAACGGGATTCAGACAATAACTCTGAAAGATACACTCATGGACAAAACTAAAAGAAGTTGTACCTTTTAGCATGTATACCGGGATTCAGATAATAACTCTGAAAGATACACTCATACACTCAGGAAGTTGTACCTTTTAGCATGTATATCGGGATTCAAACAATAACTCTGAAAGATACACTCATGGACAGAATTTAATGAAGTTGTACCTTTTAGCATGTATATCGGGATTCAGACAATAACTCTGAAAGATACACTCATGGACAGAACTTAAGGAAGGTGTACCTTTTAGCATGTATATCGGGATTGAGACAATAACACTGAAAGATACACTCATGGACAGAACTTAAGGAAGTTGTACCTTTTAGCATGTATATCGGGATTCAGACAATAACTCTGAAAGATACACTCTTGGACAAAACTTAAGGTAGTTATACCTTTTAGCATGTATATCGGGATTCAGACAATAACTCTAAAAGATACACTCATGGACAGAACTTAAGGAAGTTGTACCTTTTAGTATGTATTTCGGGATTTAGATAATAACTCTGAAAGATACACTCATGGACATAACTTAAGGAAGTTGTACCTTTTAGCATGTATATCGGGATTCAGACAATAACTCTGAAAGATACACTTATGGACAAAACTTAGGGAAGTTGTACCTTTTAGCATGTATACCGGGATTCAGATAATAACTCTGAAAGATACACTCATGGACAAAACTTAAAGAAGTTGTACCTTTTAGCATGTATATCGGGATTCAAACAATAACTCTGAAAGATACACTCATGGACAGAATTTAATGAAGTTGTACCTTTTAGCATGTATATCGGGATTGAGACAATAACTCTGAAAGATACACTCATGGACAAAACTTAAGGTAGTTATACCTTTTAGCATGTATATCGGGATTCAGACAATAACTCTGAAAGATACACTCATGGACAGAACTTAAGGAAGGTGTACCTTTTAGCATGTATATCGGGATTGAGACAATAACACTGAAAGATACACTCATGGACAGAACTTAAGGAAGTTGTACCTTTTAGCATGTATATCGGGATTGAGACAATAACTCTGAAAGATTCACTCTTGGACAAAACTTAAGGTAGTTATACCTTTTAGCATGTATATCGGGATTCAGACAATAACTCTAAAAGATACACTCATGGACAGAACTTAAGGAAGTTGTACCTTTCAGCATGTATATCGGGATTGAGACAATAACTCTGAAAGATACACTCATGGACAAAACTTAAGGAAGTGTATTTAGACAAACTATGAAGAGACATAAGAGTTTTGAGGACTGTAGAAATACACATAACCAGAAATATATAACAATGCTTTATGCCTATTTTCTCTTCCGCAAACAACAAAAAATACTCTTTTTTAAAACGTAATATTAGCATGATGCATTAACGCGCCAACTGGTATGAGAAAAAAAAAACTATTTTTGACGTTTATTTTTTTTTTTAATAAATGATAAGGCACAATTTTATTATAGATTATAAACACAAGGTAATAAAACCAAATCCATATATATAAATAGTGTGTGACGTTCCGGTAACAGCGTTGTTACCATAAGGAGATGCATTTTTTCATAATTATGCATCTTATCCCTGTACAATATAACATTTGTACTATTTTTTCACATAGTCAATTGTATCAAACACAACACATAAAACAGTAATAATGAAATTTTATCATAATTTTCAATTCAATATAACACTGAAATTTTAATTATATCTTTATATAATTCTGATATCCAAAATTCATTAATATAAGAAAATGCATAATTATTAATGCAAACGAAATTCTCTAAATAAAATTAATAAATATTTACAAAACGATCTGAAAATAAAAAGACACAGGGTGAAAACAAGTACAATAGATATCGCTTCTCTCACAAAATTCTTCGAACACAGTTATTTTATACCAAACGAACTTCTAAATATGATTTAAATAATTTATTTCGTCTGTTTTATTTTTTAATTATTTTTAAAACTTGCCAACAAAACAATCAAAAGAAACTTTAATTGAATGTGATTCATAAAAAAAAACAACAACGTTTGAATATAAAAGTAGAAAAATGTTTTTTTTTTTTTAATGAAACTATTCTTGTCGTTGATTGGTTAGGAATACTGTTTGATTATTTATTTAGTGTTTGGAAGGTTGAATAAATATTTAATAGAAATCATCTTTATTGAATTGATTTTTAAAATTGGATAATTCGTGTGAAAAAAAGATTGAAAATAAGCTTTTTTGTGTCTTCATCAAATGCTTAGTCAACTTTATTTCCATTTTTTCATACTTAAAATATAATTACGAAAAAGGCATCTCCTTATCGTGCAACTGAAAGTTGCTGATGACTTGCGCCATCTATCGGAATAAATATCAACTGTGCAAATGCAAATAATTTTATCTAATTAAAAAGGCATATATTGGATCAAAATATAATTTAT